TGATTCCAATGAGTCGGGTCGTCGGGTGTCGCCACGTGGCGCCGGTCGCCGTACGTTCTGGTTGGGCCCTCGCGGTCCCGAGGTTCTCTGGTTGCCGCGTTGTCGGCAATTTCCACAAGGCGTGCTGGGCCAGTAGGGGGCTATCGCTTTCCATGGGATGACCCTGAGTTGGTGATACGGGAGAAGGAGACGGAAGGGAGGGAAGTTAGTGGAAACAACGACAAAACCAGGGGAGATAAAGTAGTGGGTGTGGTCTGAAGTGGGGAAATCAGAGCACCGGGGGTCGCTGGTGGTAGCGCAATGAAACTCCCTAGGACACAACCGATTTTCTGTTAGACAGGGAAATCTCTGTCGAAGGCTTTCTTCTATCCACGGGGTGAAGTAATCCGGGTCGTACAACAATGACTCTGAGCTCTCGGAGCGTGTTATTATGTCATCGCAGAACTGTGAGATGCCTACGGGTGCGTTTGTACCGATTGGAGATCACCGCGTGTGAGCACGTGCGAGCCGCGCGGGTCACGATGATCGCTCCGTCGCAGACCCCGGATGACCGTATCCGATCAAGCGGTATTCCTACAATCAATGGTCCTTTCTGGAGTTGACGAATCGATGCACGGGGATACGTATACATGCGCAGGTCGGATCGTGCGTACACGTGTCCTCCCGCGGCATTCGCGGGAGAACAGACATTCGACCGCCTAATCACTCCGTAATTTTCGAGCATGCAAGATGCCACAACCATAACAGGTCAATCAAAAGACAAGCAAAAATGGAAACCGCATTGACGACTATGCAAAAGTCCTACCCTTCGTACGAGTACATCAGGACGAGAGACAAAGGCAAGGATCGACATAAGAATCAGCAAACAGACATAACATCCATTCATCAACATATACACACAACATATCTGAGATGAAAATCGCAAAGACAAGTGTGAGGGCGGCCGTAAGGTCACCTATAGTTATAAAAGTGTGCGACCGAACTTCACACTAGGGGCATATGGCTTACCTTCAACTGGCAACAGTAGAGGAATGCCAAAACCCAAGTCCAGATTCCGAAAAACAGAAACGGGCAATTTGCCCTGAGCCGAAATCAAAACTTATGTACATAAGCAGGGAGGGGGAAAAGATAAAAGAAACAGCAAATCCGCGTCCATCGACCTCAGCTCCCTCTTCCTCTCTCTCTTTCTCTCCGATGCGGATAGCCCGCCGTCGCGCACCAACCCACGAAGTCGTCACCCCGCTTAGTCCTCCCGCACCCGTCAGGTTCGCCCACGCCCACAGTCCGCCGTGGCCCGCGTAAACCCCGCGCGTTTGGCACCAGCTCGTCGGGTGGCCCAATTCCTGCTCTACTCACCTCTTACTTTGCTCGTGTCCCGACCCTCTCTGCTCGCATAACCCCGAGCTTACAAACAGCTGGTTAAGAGAGTTAACTAATCGCACAGCCGAAATTTATAGCGTGCATGCATGCGCGAAGAACACGGAATTACAAGGACTCAGAAGAAAGATTAGAGAAGGAGCGCCTACGTTCTGCATGGCCCAATCGCAGCGTGGGG